CAGCTTCTTGAATTATTTGCTCAGCATACAAATTGAATAAGTATGGTGAAAGAATACAACTTTGGCACACAACTTTCTTGATTTTAAACAATTCAATCTTACCTTGTTCCATTAGAACAACTGCCTCTTAGTCTCTGTACAGGTTCCTCATGACCATAATTAATACTTATTCTCTACAATGTTGTCCATAGCTTGTCATGATCCACATAATCAAAAGCCTTTGCGTAGTCAATAAAGCACAGGTAAACATCTTTCTGGTATTCTCTGCTTTCTACCAAGAGTCATCGGATGTCAGCAGTGATATCCCTCATTCCATATCTTTGTCTGAATCTGGCTTGAACCTCTTGCAGTTCCTTGTCAGTGTACTCTTGCAGCTATTTTTGGATTATCTTTAGCAAAATTTTACTTTCATGCGATATTAATGATATTGTCCGATGAATTCCATGTTTTGTTGGGTCACCTCTCTTTGAAATGGGCATATATATGGGTCTCTCCCAAATATTTGGCCAGGTAGCTGTCTTCCAGATTTCTTGGCATAGATGAGTGAGTGCCTCTAGTGCTGCTTCAGTTTGTTGAAAGATTTTAATTTATATTCCATCAGTTCCTGGAGCATTGTACTTTCCCAATGCCTTCAATGCATCTTTGATTTCTTCATTTAGTATTACTGACTCTTGATCATACATCACATGGTATCCCTTGAAATGGTTGAACATCAACCATTTCCGTTTGGTACAGTGACTGTGTATTCTTTTCATCTTCTTTTGGTGCTTTCTGCATCATTCAACATTTAGCTTATAGAATCCTTCAATATTCAAGTTGAGGTTTGAATTTTTTCTTAAGTTCCTTCAGCTTGAGAAATGCTGAGCATATTCTTCCTTTTTGGTTTTCTAACTCCAGGTCTTTGCACATTTCATTATAATATTTGACTTTGTTTTTTCCAGCTTTGCTTTGAAATTTAATATTAAGCTCATTTACTTCCTCTTTTCTTCCATTTAGTTTATCATCTCTACGCTGGAGAGCAAGTTTCAGAGTCTCTTTTGACATCCATTTTGGTATTTTTCTTCTTTATTGCTTTCTTAATGACCTTTTGCTTTCTTCCTCTATGATGTTTTTGATGTCATCCCACAACTCTTCTGGTCTTCCATTTTTAGTGTCCAATACATCAAATCTCTTCTTCAGATGATCTCTAAAATCAGTAGGGGTCTGTTGAAGATCATATTTTGGCTCTTGTGGACATGTGTTAATTTTCTTCAACTTCAGCCTGAACTATAATCCTTGATTTTGTCTTTTTGGCCTGTCCTTTGACATTTTCTCATTTAACTCTTTATGTCATCATTTCGTCCTTTAGCTTTAGTTGCTCTATATTCAACAACAAGTTTTAGAGTCTCTTCTGGCATTTCAGTACTTAAATCTTTAAATTTTTTTCCCATATTTTCAAAAACATCATTGATTTCTTCTAAATTTTCACATAAGTTGGTATAAATATGTACATCATTGTTGTTGTTGTTAGGTGCCATTGAGTCGTTACTGACCCATAATGACCTTACGTACAGCAGAACGAAACACTGCCTGATCCTGGGCCAACTTCATGTAGGTTTATTTATTAGATGTCTTACTCTATTGATGTTTCAGTTATATATGTTGGATTTGAACCTTTCTCCTCTTATGAGGCCAATTATTGCCTCATACTTTTTATAATTGTCATTTGACAATTTAATAGTTTACAATTTTTAGAGCCTTTGGTGGATTTTAATGTTCACTTTATCAAATATCCTAATTTAACACGCTTATTTTTTGTGAATTTCATCTTGCCTGCCTTCAGTAATGCTATAATGGTGTTGATGGTGGTTATGTGCTTTGGAGTCGATTCTGACTCATAACGACCCTGCGTAGGATTTCCAAGGCTGTAAATCTTTACCGGAGCAGAATGCCTCATTTTTCTAACAAAAAGGCTGGTAGTTTCGAACTGCTGACTCATCACCACTATGGTACCAGAGTATATGTTCCACTTAATTCTCTTAACTTTGTATTCATTCTTTTGTGTTGTGTGTCTTCTCAATAGGATATTACTAGATTTCCTCTGCCTTTCCAATCTGAGAGCTTTTTTATTAATATGGAAAACTGATCCACTTATTGATATGTAATTATTGATGTTTGAACTTATCTTTTTCATTTTATACATTTTTTTTATTCATCATGTTTTGATATTATCTTCCTTCTTTTAAGCTTTCTTACCCTTCCCCATTCCTCCTTATTAATTTGTCTGGACTTGGTACATCTTATTTATTATATCCTGGTAATTACTTACTAAGAGTGAAGAAACTTAAGTAAGCTGTTATATTTGGAGTTAGTGTCTGCAATCTGTCCGTATCATACAATGGGCACTACTTGTTTAGCTGTGTTGTTTAGTCTTAAGTTAATCTACAGACTTCTGCTTCTTTTATATGTAATAGTTTCTTCCTACATGTTGTTGGGGCTTTGTTGTTGTTAAGTTAGGCTCCTCTAATCTTTAGTCTGTAGCTTTGATCCGAATTATTTTCTAGCTTGGAATGCTTCAGAATTTCTGATGAGACATTTTCGTACTTTTTGTTTTATTTTCCATTCCTGTTTTTGATTTACCATATCGAAGGCTATCTTTTCAGTTACTACGTGGCACGTTGAGTACAAAGGAGGTAAGACATATGTACTCGGCCTGCCAATTAGAATCCTTATAAATGGCGGGAGTTAGATTCTTTGTTGCTATGTAGTGTGCTTTTTCTTAGTGGTGTAGAGCACAGGCACAGGAATTGTGTTCTATGTGCTTTCTGCAAGAAATTCTTTTTCAATGAGTTATTTAAGAAGGAGCACAATAATTTTTAACCTTCTATTATATAGGCGCCATTTAGCAACAACAACATTGTATATATGCTCACAACTATTAACAAATGATCTGTTATGCAGTTAACAAATTCCTTATGCAATTATAAAGATTTAATACATTTAGATATTACCCTTTTACAGAATTGTTAAAAAATAGATAATTCCCTATTAAAAGAAGAGGTGAGCAGTTTTCCCCTTGAACAATATGGCCTTTTTCTTGATCTCAGGTTGAAATTGGAGTGGGAGCTGGATACAGCATGAGGGATGAGGCCACTCACCTTAAGCAATGTATTATTCATGATGCTATGTACCATTTCTTAACGAAGAGTTATCTTCTTGCAGCTAAACCTTAAGATGGTTTATGTGTACATATGAGAGTTCTTTTTTGTGGTAATTACCTGACACATACATCTTTGATTTTTTTTGTTGGCATTATCATTAAAAAGTATTTGAAGAGATCCTTTCTATGTATGAATATTACACAGTCATGCCTTACAGCAGGCATCAGTAAAGGTTTCCTATGTAGGAATATTATACA